TAGTATAATGTATATATAGTAATTTGTTTGAGTCATTTTCAATCATTAAATATACTATATCTAATATCATGCACCTTGTTATACATTGTATACATATACACATGTTAAGATAATTAAATAGTGCCACCAAAAATTATAAATAATAAATCCAATGTAGTTTTATTTATTAAAAATTACATATAAAAGTCAAGATAGAAATGGTTGAAATTTAAATTTATTTTTTTTAAGTAGGACACAAATTTTAATATAATATATATATATATATATGTTTCAATTGTTCTTTTCACCTCACTCCCCACTTTCCTTTTTTGGTTCCTTAAAGGGTCATCAAAATTATTCCTTCCAAATGAATATGACTAACCATTGTGCATCGATAAGAGTGGATTCTCCACTCAAATCACCATATAGATAGATCATTGTAAGACCAATATATATACTTTTACCCACATCAATACACTGTTTATATAGGTTTTTCTTGTTTCTCTTTTCGACTTTTGACCATCCGAGATTAGCCTTTGAGAATTTGGTTTTCCTTTTTTTGGGGTTTTAACTTGTGGGTATTTCACTATGAACAAATCTACTTCAACTAAGATTGAACATGTATGTCTTGTGGCTTATTGTATCATTACTGTATCATACAATCACACAAATCAAGTGTCTTTTTTTAGTGTTTCTAATGATGGCCAACCGTGTTGAGTGGCACATAAGTGCAATAACATAGTTGTGGGGGATTAATGATTACCCACTAAACCTATAAGGGACTCTCAATCTGTTTCCTATGTCAATTAGCCTTTTACCTTTTTTTGTGCACTTCACAATCATAGCCTTTTATTACAAGAGTTTACACAATTCATACGTTAAAAAGATACAAAAAAAGTAAATAATACCTCATTTGCATATTCACCCACTTCAAGCTCATCGATGAGATTTGTGGTTTCAGATCCTTGACGAACTTTCAAGCAAGACAGACATTTGGATCCTCTTCGTCCGAGTCGAACTCAACCTGAAACCAAATCACGTGTGCAAGTGACTATTGAAATTTAACAAAGGCGAAAAGTTGGAAAACAGTTACAGAAAGTTCCATCCACCAAGCAAAGCTGCTTCGATTTGGAAATCAAACTTTAGTTCATACTTAATGACCAAAACAGGTTGAAGGAAAACTGCAGGCATACGTTCGAGTGTCTCAATTGTCAATCCAGAAAAGAAACTCACATTCTCGTCTTTATACCATTTCCCATTGCAATCACGCTTCCAACCTGCAGCAATGAACTTGAGCTCTATCTCTCGACGTTCCCGGAAATCCAGCACTCGTTCTGTGACAACCTTTTCGGACGCTACTGTTTGAGGAAAAGAACTATTTCTCATAGAACTGGCCGCTACATTTAGTGCATGCTCCCTGGCCAACTCCAAATCACAATTTGAACTCTCTGAACTCTGTTGACAAGTTATATTTGGAAGTATGTCTGAAGTTGCTTTCCTTGTATGTTCAACCAATGGTTTAATAGAGTTGGAAGTGGCGGTAGAACAGTCCGAGAAGGCTATTCTCTTATTTATCTCATCTTGCCTCACCAATTCTCTTTCCTTCAGCTTGGACTCTGCCTTACAATGTCGCGAGCCCTTGCAATGCATCTACAGAAGTAATCTTGAATAAATTGATAGCCATTGTCAATGCTTGGAGTATTCCAGAAAAGAAATTGTCAATGCTTTGATTATTCTTTACTGGGAAAAACATTCACATGCTCTGCTAGTTGCCTTAGTTAAAGTCAAATCCATTCACATCTATGAAGATCCTCATTGTCAATCATAAAGTGGAAATCAAGCAAAGCAATTATACATCAAGAGATTTGAAAAGGCACTCAGTGAGTCACATGGGTAAATAATATAAGAGATCATGTACATATTCCAAGTTAAATGGAATTGAAGATGTAATACCTTATCCAAAAAAAAAAGTGAAAGATGTCTAGCAAAATAAGCCTATTTTATACATGAAGCATAAATCAAGCAGCAGTCAGGAAGCATAAATAAGCCCATTTGGCTGAATTGACATGGACCTCAACTAATCCAACAAAAAGAATATAAAGTGGAATATCAAGAGATTTGAAAAGGCACCCAAGTGAGTCATATGGGTATATAATATCAAAGATCATATACATATTACAAGTTAAATGGCATGGAGGACGTAACACCTTATCCAAATAAAAGTGAAAGATGTCTTGCAAACAAGCCTATTTAATGCATAAGGCATGAAACCAAGCAGGGGTCAGGAAAAAGCCCATTTGGCTCAATTGACATCAGACCTCAACTTATCCAACAAAAAGAATATAAAGTGGAATATCAAAAGATTTGAAAAGGCACCCAAGTGAATCATATGGGTATATAGTATAAGAGATCATATAAATATTACAAGTTAAATGGCATGGAAGATGTAATACATTATCCAAATAAAAGTGAAAGATGTCTTGCAAATAAGCCTATTTGATGCATGAAGCACGAAACCAAGCAGCGGTCAGGGAAAAGCCCATTTGGCTCAATTGACATAGAGCTCAAATTATCCAACAAAAAGAATATATGAGAAAATACCTTATAGAACAATCTGAAGATGAGTTCTACACAGAATTTGTTTTCATTTCAACATCTTAATGCCACCCACATTTCCAAACTTACTCTTTCATGATATGAGTTAGTTCTTTCCATTCTTTCTCATAACTGTGTTTTCTCTTGATTAGTCACAGATGACTCCCTCAAACCTATTTTCTAGGTCTAGAGGAGATCCAGGAGGTCCTAAAACTCCAAGAAAGATACACAGAGATACATATTTGTGTGTGTGTGTGTGTGTGTGTGTGTGTGTGTAGGTCTGTATACATATTTTCTGAGTTAAATCCTTCTAGAAGAAGTTGCACAAGTATGAAGACGACGATATATTTTCCCTGTCAGGCAGATGTGGAAGACTAGTGTCCCACCTTGTGTTTTTTTTCTTTTGGGCTAGAGGCTAGTAGGGAATTTTTTTTTACTATTGATAATTTGCAGAAGAGGAGAAAGATATTGGTTAATGCTTGTTATCTTTATAAGAGGGATGAGGAGACTTGGAAGCATCTCTTGCTATGGTGTCTGGAGGTTTATAAGTTGAGTACCTTGATTTATGGGTTGCTGGAAATTAACTGGGTTATGGCAGGTTCAATGAGAGAAGAAACTTGGGTGCGGAAGGGCGTTAGTGATGCAAACAAGTGGATACAATTCTGCTATCTATCTTCTGGGTGGTGCGGAAAGAAAGGAATAGAAGAGCTTTGATGTGATTGAGGATGTAAATGGTTTTGGTATTCTTAAGAATAGATGGTTCCATACCCTTAATTTTTTATTACAGGATCATCTTCTTAGCTCTATGGAGGATTTAGCGGAACTTATCGATACATTGATTGACTTATAAATTTTGTAAATGGGTGTGCCTGTATAAATACAATTCATTATTTATATTTTAAAAACAGTGAGTGTGTGTGTATATATATATATCTATGTATGTATAACCTACTCAAATTCCTCACACTTGCTTATATTCACAGGCAAAATAACACACAAATACCCAACATTCCTCAAACTTGCTTATTTTCATAGACAAAATAGGATACACAGACATACAGACCTACAGAGACCCGCACACACAACCATGTACTCAAAATTCCTCACTATTTCTTATTGTCACATACAAAATAAGATATGCCCATCCAAGTTAAATCCCATTACGCAACAATTCCCTCGATCTCGTTCTCTCTATACGGTGCTTATTAATTGACGGAATCCCGTATCAGGATAGCATGATTAGGACGGGTCAAAGTCAAACAATCAAACCACAAAACAACTTCTTCTCTCGCCGGTCGATAAACAATAGGTCAAAATCAGATGCACTAAATACGAAACTCGGAGATTTAAAAGAAGGAAGATGACAGAGAGAAAGAGAGAGAGAGAGAGAGAGAGAGAGAGGGAGGAAGTACATACAGAGAACATAAGGAGGGAATCAATAATTGGATTGTGGGGGCAAACCAAGCATGCGTACTTTCCATTGGAGAGTTTCTTGTAAGCAGACGCATGAAGCCCTTCCACCAAAACATCATCGACTCTCCTCTTCCTGTGCTGTGCTTCTCTCGCCCAGCTATCCCCTCCGAACACGCTCATCTTCCTCCTCTCTCTCTCGTACTCGCTCGAGTCGCGCGCACTGCGAGACGATGATCCACTGTAAAAGCTTTAGGTCACTCGAGTGAAAAGCCCAAAAGGCCGCGTTGTCAAAAGCCCAAAACGCTGCGTTTTCGAAAATAAGTAGTCATTTTCCCTTTTGCCCCGGAAATCTATTTATTTTATTTTAATATAAATTAAATTATTTATTTTTTAATTTATAAATTATTTGTTTTGTACATATTTTTTTAGTTTTCGAATTACTCGAAATAATAACTTTATTAATTATAAAAATTCAGTGGTACATCAAATGCTTAAAAAAAAAAAAAAAAAAAAGTGACGGTAGTACAAAAAAAGTATACCCCCGGTACTTAACCACACCGCAGGTAATCCTATCAATTATTTTCATTAATTATTCCTTTAAGAAATAAAATTTTCTTAAATATCTTAATTTATTTATAACAATAATAATAATATTATTATTATTATTATCAATAATAATAATTATTATTATTTATTATTGATGCTCGCATGGTTAGAACCCACGAAGCAGGGGGACGAGTGAGAACTTCATCATCCCAACTTTGCAATGGATGCCGCCGTGCTCACCGCAAACGAAGTAGTGGGGGCCCCATTTCTTAAGTGGGAACTCGAAGCCGTCGGCGCTGGCTCCGTCCGACACGTTTCCGATCATCCGCCCTTTGCTCAGATCGCACGCTAAGTAACTCTTCAGGTCCGGCAGCATGTACACACTGTGAGGAAACGTCGTCGCATTTGGTGCGTCGTACTTAAAAACTACATGCAAGTGCAAGCTGTTAGACGACTTAGATAGATACATACATATATATATGTATATATACGTATATATGAGTTTGTGTGCGTTTATACGTCGTAAATACTCACCTAGAACATCATTGAGGTAAAACGGAGCGTTTTTGAAGGCCCAGTCAGAGTAATTGAAGCCGAAGTGCCAATGCTCGGAGCCACCCACAACAATCTTTCTCACGCCGTCGGTTGTGGCATTCCGGTGACGTGCGCCCCAACCCCAGCTCCAGCCCCAGCCCCAGCCCCAGCCCCAGCCCCAACCTGAAGTGTGGTTCGAGCCCGAGCCCGAGCCCGAGCCCCAGTTTGCAGTGTGGTTCGAGCCCCAGCCCCAGCCCCAATTGCCCGTGTGGTTAGACTTAACACCTCGGCTACCACTATGATTGAAGCCCCGATGCCAACCTCTATTGGCCGTGCTGCATGTGGCTAACATGGAAGCTGTTACCAAAAATATCAACAGCCCCGTTGCACGAGCAAAACCCATGTTGAGAATGTGGTAATTAGAGAGGAGAAATTTTGTGGGTGTTGGAGAGTGATTGTATGTAATGGTATTTATATAGGGGAAATGGTGCAATACGGCCAAATTTTAAATTGGGTTGGTAATAATGTTGGGAACAAATTATTTACATGTGTTTAACTTTAATTCAATTGTTAATATAAAGTCAATAAGAAGAAGAAATTAATACAATATAATATAATATAATATAATATAATACATATATATATATGTATATTTATAAACTAATGGAAGTTTTTTCAAAGTCAACCACTCTAAATAGTGAATTCAATTTTCATTATAATCGTATCTTGTCTAATTACAACATTAATAATTTCATTTAAAATTATTTGTTACCTTCAATTATAATAATAAATAAATATAAAATTTAATACAATTATGCTCTTATTAAGTCTATACGAAATATTATCATGCCATTATTTTATAGTTTAAAATACGGGTCATTTAGAAAAATCAAATATAGTTCGTAGTTGATTAAATTTATTTGTCTAGCCTATATTGATATATGTAAATAGATTGTTCGAGAACTAAAATTTTATATAATATATAAATAATATGATTAGAATATTGTTGACTTCGGACAATATATTGTATCGTTAAAAAATTTATCGTGGGATGAAAAATTCTTTTTCTTTTTTAGATTCGCACACGCATACACATATGTATGTATATATTGAACTACTATGCCAACCAAATAAAATCCATTAAAATGCTCGAGCCAATAATAAAAGTATCTGTAGAAATTTTAAAAGTATATTTGAAATTTAAATAACCAAATTCATATCAAATCAAATAGATTATATATGTAATGGAAGTAAAACTGAATTCATAGTTGAATAGACATGCATGTCGTATCGTAGATATTTTAAATTAACACGTAATTTTTTTATTTTTTATATTTTATATATTTCTGTTTATGAGATATCATAATAGAAAAAAAAAATCATACGTATAATTTGAGGAATATAACCGTTTATTTATAGACAAAACGTGCATGAAAATTTTTTATATTTATATTTTGATTTATCACAAAATTAAAAATTACATATTTAATATTTACACATAAAATAAAACTTACATTTTAATTTGATGTATTAAAACTTCATATATTATAAATCGTATTGGATCATTTTTAACTAAAATTCAATTAATTTGATTACTTTTTATGAACACAGTAATTTATATATATAAGTTTATATGGTAAATTTAAAATTCTCCGTGTTCTTATAAATATTTACCATCTGAAAAAAAGAAAAAACGGAGTATTTGTCTAAAGAAATGTGTTGAGAAATGGCAGATGCATAGAACCTTTCAACGAGATAGTGCTTTTTCAACTCTCTCAAAACGGAATCTAATCCAAACATATATGTCATGGTTCCTTACTTCGACAGGGTACAAATATCTAAATTTAATATTTTTAAATACTTTTTCAGACCTATTGCCGATACTAAATAACAGTAAAAAATTTGTATCAATTTTTCATGATATTATGCATGGATCAGAATATCATGATGAATTCTTCAGAAAAAAATTGTGTCTTCCACAATGGAATCTGATAAGTAAGATTTTGAGTAAATGTTTATATAATCATCGAAATAATGAGTCACAATTGATATCGACACATCTGAGATTGCCAAATGTTTTGAAATTTCTAACAATATTCACACAACCAAACAAAACGGGAGAATGAGTGTATATATATATATACATATATGTGAAAATTAAATGACTCCAAAATCAAAATTATTGTTATTATTTTGTGTATTAGTTTACCACAACACTATTGAGTCCATGAGAAAGTTGACCGAGTCGCCCAAACCAAAAGAATTGTCAACAACAATATGGAAATTAAAATTAAAAAGTAATATTGCAATTTTAACTAATTGTGGGTTGACCCAAAAATTTAGAGGGAATTACGGCTTGGGAAAAAAAAATTAAATTGCCACGATTGAATGACGCAAGCATGATGTCGTCGATGATGGCAAAATGTTAAAAAAAAACACCAAAACGACGTCGTTGGGATAAATAATAAAATAATAAAATTTAAAAATAATGAACTAACGAATACCATTAAAACCTTGTCGGTACATTCAGCTATATGTGGTGTGGCATTTATAATTTCCAAATAATAAATGTATTTTTTTTAGATTACTCAAAAAAATTAAATTCCTAGAAAATTTAAAATTAAATTACGCCAAATTATTTTTTTAAAATATGAATTAAACTTAATTTAAATTCATATAAATTTTTTATTTTATGTTGTTAATTTTTATTGAATAAAAATAATTTTTTAGACGTGAAAATTTAAGTAATTAGAATTAATAACGCGTGTAATTAATTTGCTACCTAAAACCCATTATTATCCCCCGCTAATCTTATAATTAGCCGCTTAATTAAACCCGGTTCTTTTAAGAACATTTTCATTAGGGGAAAAAAAAAATAAAAAATAAAAAATAAAAATCCAGTTCCCCGAGAAAATGACGGAAACTTACCCGCGAAAGAGATAGGGAAACAAACAGAGACGCGGAATAACGTAGAACTCAAAGCTGCCCCTCTTCTAGAGAGAGAAACCCAACTAGATGTCCGATGGAAACCCCAAACGACGCCGTGCGGAGCGAGGAAAACGCAGAGGCGGAGGATTCTAGAGAGAAGATGGAGAATGAAATCCCTCCCGACGATGATTGCTGCCCTATCTGCTTCGGTTCCTTCGTTGTTCCTTGTCGATCAAATTGCGGTCACTGGTATTGCGGTCCGTGTTTTCTTTTTTTTTGTAAATCTTCGGATTGTTGTATTTTGTTTCTTGAGTTGTGTTTGCTGGGGGTTTTGTATAATTTTTTCTGTTTGGTCAGTGAGAAATTCGGGCAGGAAGTGCAGAAAGAGGATAAAAACATAGTATGTTGTGTGATTCAGATTGGTATTTAGGTTTTCTTTTTGGTGCCTAGGATTATACATAGAGGAAGAGTACTAAAGTTTGACTTGAAGCATGATTATCAAGAAGAATCGCCATTATTTGTGGTTAATTTCTTATTGTGGGCTGTTTGCGATTCAAACGAGCTATAAGGCTCTCTTGTTCAGGGTTCTATACTGTGCTGTTGTAGACGACTTGCATCTTATGAACCAATACCCTAACACACATTTGGATGTTAGAGAAATAGTTAAGCAGTTGCGTTATGAAGTAATCTGTTGTTTATGCGCGCATTGGCTTAGGCTAATTAATACCTAAACGTAGTAGTTCAGATCAGGCTGGAACCGAATTGATTTTCGGTTAAATCTGCCTGTTGTTATCCCAGGATGGCCTTTCCTCTTGAGAGGGCGGCACATAAGTTCAATAAATGAATATAAAGTACCGGAGAATCAGGAGTCTTGATCTCTTTCTTGTTCATGAAATGTTAAGGGGGAAAGGGGAAAAGAGTAAGTAGTAGTTAATTATAGTAGTTATCGGCAGAATCTGGTAGAAGACAAGGTTTCCTCTATGTATATGGTGAAATATATAAACATTTTCATGTAATACTTGAGCTGCCTTCTGAATGTATGTGACTTTTTGTTTACAGGACTGTTAATTTCTTTTCTTTGAAAGAACAGATGTTTGTTTTGAAACTTAAATTTAACTGTGGTTTGATTTGGGAATTTTGGTGGAGTTTGATGATTGTGGCAGTGTGGGGTTGGTGCCTGGCCTGGGCTTGTGTACACTCAACAAGCATTGTCATTTTGCGTCCCTCTTTTTCTTTTTCGTTCAACATAGTCTGGTAAAATGAAAATCTCTTGAGCATTAAATGTTTGGAAAAAAAAAGGCCAAACTATGCTCTGGACTTTAGGGAGAGAACACGTTTCTGGGGGTCACTTGCATATTCTACTATGAACCTTTTTGGCATGAAATCATCTGCTAAAACTGTTTCTCATTTCTGCAGGCAGTTGCATTTTGCAGTTCTGGAGCTATTCTGCAGCATCTAAACCTTGTAAGTGTCCCATGTGCTGTCAGTACATTAATAAGTTGACACCAGAGTCATCATTGCAGAAAAGGCAGCAGGAACCAGAAGTTAAAGAGGTTCTTGGTAATATTCAGAGGTACAATCGTCTTTTTACTGGAGGGGTCTATGGCTTTGTTCAGGTAAATATACCTGTGAGCTTGTGTATTTTACGGGAGATGCAAATGTTGGAAAATGACTCCTTTGTTGATTTTTCTTTTATTTTCTTAATCATTTTTTGGAATTTGATAAAATGATATTTCAGAACAATATCTGTTATTTTCAATGCCTTTATGTGCAACCTGTTGTAGATGGTTTTTGGTATTAGATTTTTGAAGATAGCCAAATAGTGGAATTTCCAAATTATCTTAGAATTCTTTATTTTTTTTTTCATATCAAACTTGGATTGATAACTTTTGCCAATCTTGGTTTGGTCAAAATTTAACTTTAAATATTCTGCAAATTTTTTTGCTTATATTCTTCAACAAATTTCAGCCTTGCTTGTTGTCCCCAAAGAAGGTGGCTTCTCTCATTTTTAAACCCATTAGTACCCTTCTTTGAAATTTGTTTCTCATTAATTTCCATAAGGCTACTTCTAGTTTATTTCCTTGAGTATATTTTTTGCTGGTGCGAACTAGAAACATAAAGAGCAAGGCACAGAAACTGTAGTATGAACATTCCCTTCCTTTTCGTCTTTCAGAAAATGCTGGAGATGCCCTTCTTCATGAAGAGATTGCTGCGAGAAATGATGGATCCTGATAGACCTAATTCAATTAATGAAATGCGCCTTTTTGCAGTTGAGTACTTCGCTTTAAGTTTTAGTTTCTATTAGTCCATAAATAGTGGTTTTTAGGAATTTTGTAACATCGTGGGCAATTTGGCACCGGAGTGGGAAATTGTGGTTTTCATATCTAAATTGATAAAGTTGAGCATATTGCTGCCTGCCAATTCTTTGAAAGCATGATATTTTTGCTAGAAGGGTGTCCGACTAATAATTTTATGGCTTTTAGTTGAATTCATTTACTTGATCAACTTGTGATGGCTGTAGATCATGCTCAACATATTCAGATTCTAGTGACTCAACCCCACAGTAGTTATAATGACTGTGCTCGTAATTGTGATGTCTGCTTCTTAACACAATACACTGATTGTGTTCTTTTGCTTGTAGATGATCCTGGGTCTACTCTATGCAGCCACTCCTTTGAACTTCATTCCGACAGGCAAGTCATTTATTGGGAAATAGAATATCTGAATGTTTGTAGTTTATCATAACGCAAAATTCAATGAAACACTAATACGTGGTCCTTTTCTGAGTGTGGCTTTTGAGGATCCTTTGCGAAAATCTTAGCAAATGTGTTCTTTTGACGCAATCTCTTGACATGAGCCAAGGGCTTTTATTTTCATTCTGCAGGAGGTCTAGGAATAGTAAGGGTGTTCGATTACGCTGCTGTTGCCTTGGTAATCATCCTCCGTACAATCGGCCACTACCACAGACGAAGACTTGCTCGGCAAGTCAGGCATGTAGCTGCCACCCAACTTTTACAGGAGTAGGCTCCTCCAAGGTTGCAACCGTTGCAACTCTTTTTTACTTGTCTTGGAGATAATCTCTAGAACCATAATTTCATGTGACTAATAGACACTTCTATTAGGTTGTAAATCTTGTAGGTACATTGACTAACACCAGTTCATCTGCGATACCGGAGTCGAGCTAGTTTGCTGTATAGTCAGTCCCATGGTAAAAGTTGGTAGTGTTTGTTGTACTATCCTAAGTGTGGGTTGTATACATAGAGGTTGATAGTTATATTCACTGGTTGTTTATGTTGGGATGTTGTTATTTTTGGTATGTGATTCCCTGATTAATGAGGTATATACATAAGAATTAGAGGTTTATATACATTAAGAAGTGGCTCTAAACTGCCGTGCCCCAATCTGATTTTGTCTTTTTGAAACTTGAATTAGAGGGTAGTATTGAAACAATAATTAAAAAGTTTACATGAAATTTTATATATATATATATATTTATGTTGACTTTAGTATAAAATTATTACTTGTGAAAATGTACATGAAATTTAATTTAATTATATAATAAATATATAAATTATTATTAATTTATACATATTAAATAACTAATAAAATAGCATGT